TTTTTTTTTTTTTTTTTTTTCTGTTTCAAAGAGGAACTTGGAATTTATGAGCCAAATAATTCGTTGGTCAGGAGGAAGGCGAGGGGGGGGTGGTCAAAAATTATCATGCGGCCTCAGAGCCCTGTCAGGCACCAAAACAGGCAGGAGGCAGCACAGAACTGAAGGTAAAACTGGATGGTGGTGTTCAAAAATAAAACACGAATGGTCACGTACCCAAGCAGCTCCCCGGGGTGTGCTGAGGGCCCCACCCCTGACAGGGACACTCTGGGAGGGGAGATTGGAGCCCCACACAGCCCCAGTCAATGAGAGCTGCACGAACAAAGGAAAGCTGAGTCAGAGGGGACAGGAAAGTTTTCAGATCTGGATGTCAGGTGAGCCAGAGGAGGAGTTACCCATTAACTGGGTGACTGAAGCTGATAAGGCTCAGATTCCCCTGTCACCCATTTACTGCTCATTCCCCATGGGAATTTCGCCCTCCTGACTGCCTTCTCTCCCCACCCAGAGGGCAGGAGTTCAGCCAAGCTCCTGCTCCAACCCTCACACTCACTTTATTCTCCACTTGCAGCAGAACTGAGCAAGCCAGGGGAGCATTTAAGACCCCAAAACCGGAGGGTCCCCTCTTCTTCTCACCGTGCTCAATTTCCCCCCAGTGCTGAGCTGGGGTGCGGCCTCCTGGCTCCGGGGCACTCTGGGTGCAGAGGGAGCTGCAGCACAAACAGCCTGGGGGTGGTTAAGGCTGGAGGTCTGGCCCTGGGAGATAAACACGCATCCCTTTCTCACTTGTGGCCAGAGCCTGCCCAAAACCCGCCTTCAATGAAAACCACAGTGGTTTTTGTGGGATGGGAGTTCCTGCAGGGAGAGGGGATGAGGTGTCTGCCCAGTGTCCCACTCCTGGGCATGGCTGGGGACTGGGAGAGGGCGACCACCCTGACCTCTCTGCTCAGCTTCAATCCCGCTGAGCTGCCTTTGTGCAAATATTCCCCCTGTGGTTTGTCAGCACAGATAACTCGGGGATGGGTTATAAACGGGGAGACTGAGACAGAAAGATAAAACCCTGTGGCTTCCCAGCAATGTTGGGGGCAAGGAGGATGGGATGCCAGGCTCTGGATGCTGAGGGTGGCCTGTCCCTGCTGGGATGGCTGTGGAGCAAACTGGCATGTTCTCTTCCATGTGGAACCACATCCCGATTTTTCCTGGCTGAATTCAGGCACAGCAGTTCCCGAAAGAGCGTCAGGTTGATTTCTTAGAGAGGATGAATCTTTCCCCATCACATTTGCACATGGATTAGCATTGAGCTGTAGTCCCAGACCTAAACCTCGTGCTAGTTCTGCTCTAACTGGGAAATGAATCATTCTCTGAGGACTCCAATGACTTCAGCTGCAGTCAGCGGTGCCCAGAGCACAGGACACATGGTTTTGGTTAAACAAAAGGCACACATACTTTTTGGGGCTTGTAATAGAAGCACCCACCCAGGAAACAAGCAGGAAGTTTTTTCCTCCTCGAAATCCCATTTCAGCTTCATTAACTGTGGCACAGCCAGGCTGGATAATTCCCCGTGCAAGGAGACAACCAGGTGGCCGTGGCTTGTCCTGCCATGAGCACAGTGCTTCCCAAATATCCACATCCAGAGCGGATTAGCTGTGATCCCCCTCATCCAGCTGAATTCAAGAAGCCTTCCTGCCTTCCTCCCAGGCCGGGGGTGCTCAGCATCTCCTTGGCATGATGGAAGCACCGAGCACTTTGTTTGCTGAGCTGCGTTTTTCATGCCTTGGTGCTGGGGGCATTTTTCAGGCTGTCTCCTGCAGATTTCCCTGCCTGAAGGGAAAAAGCAAAGTCAAACCTGTTTTCTACACCCTCCGATGAGTCACCGGGGACGTGACAGGAAGGTTAGTCACAGGGATTCATTTGTACTGCTAACAAAAATTAGCGAGACAGTCCACCGCTCCAGAATTCTGATTCTGGAACGATTTGGGTTGGAAAAGCTCTCTTGGAGACCCTTTGGGTACTGGAAGGGGTTCTGAAGTCTCTGGTTCCTGTCCTTCCTGAAGCTCCTCTAATGCTCCATTCCAACACTCCCACCATCTCAGTAAAATCAGACTTTTCTTGGAATCTCGGTAAAATCACTTTTCTTGGAATTATTTTTTCTCACACACACACACACTCCCCTGATTGCGCGCAGCACCAGAGCCGTTTGTGTAACAGCAGAAAGTCCAAAGATTTAACTTTTACGGTTCTTTTCCCTTCGAGTTTTGTCCCTCTCCAAAAAAAAAAAAAAAAAAAAAAANTGTCTGTGTGTCTCTCTGTGTGTGTCAGACTGTCACGGGACAGTCAGGAGACAATCAGAGGTGAGCGCAGTGTGAGCAGCGGTGAGTGAGAGTGAGGGCACGGCAGTTTCAGTTTAGATACAATGTACATGGTACAGTATCATAAAGTAATAAATGATGACGGAGGCAGATGCATCATTCTCTCTCCCCTCTTGGAGTCACCTTTGGTTTACAGGAGAGGAGTTTGGAAACGGAGTTTGGATATGGAGGAGTTGGGATATGGAGGGGTTTGGATATGGAGGAGTTTGGATATGGAGGAGTTGGGATATGGAGGGGTTTGGATATGGAGCAGTTGGGATATGGAATTTGGATAGGGAGTTTGAATATGGAGTTTGGATATAGGGTTTGGATATGGAGGAGTTTGGATATGGAGGAGTTTGGATATGGAGGAGTTGGGATATAGAGGAGCTGGGATATGGAATTTGGATAGGGATTTTGGATAGGGAGTTTGAATATGGAGTTTGGATATGGAGTTTGGATATAGGGTTTGGATATGGAGGAGCTTGGATATGGAGGAATTTGGATTGGGAATTTGGATTGGGAGTCTAAATTGGGAGTTTGGATTGGGAGTTTGGATATGGAGGAGTTTGGATAGAGGGTTTGGATAGGGAGTTTGGATANAACGCTGAGCAAACACAGCTCTGGTGTCCCCATCTCGGGGCCTGCTGCCATGGCAGAGAGGAAACATGGATGTCCTGGGGGTGGGTGTGATCAGATATGGATGTCCTGGGGGTGGATGATCAGAGATGGATGTCCTGGATGTGATCAGACATGGATGTCCTGGGGGTGGATGATCAGAGATGGATGTCCTGGACATGGGTGGTGATCAGACAGGGATGTCCTGGGGCTGGGTGTGATCAGACAGGGATGTCCTGGACATGGGTGGTGATCAGACATGGATATCCTAGGGCTGGGTGTGATCAGACAGGGATGTCCTGGGGCTGGGTGCTGATCTCCTGCCCCAACAGCCCTGGGACAGAGAGAGAGGGTCTCCAATTGCTGCTGCGGCTTGGTGGGTGCTGTAGGACACTGTCATTGCAGGAGTGGCACTGTCATTCCAGGAGTGACATTGTCATTGCAGGAGATGCTGCCAAGTAAGAGTGAGAGGCTCTGGAGGACTCTGGTTCCTCCACCAGGGACTGAACCCAGTCAAGGTGAGTGCTGGGGCCCAGGGGATGTGCTGGGGCTGGGATTGCTGTCCCTGCTGCCTGTGCCCTGAGCTGTCCCTTTGCCCCTCCAGCGCTGAAGAACACCTTTTACACCTTTGGGAAGAAAGTGCCCAGAGACGACTGGAAGAGATTCGGCCTCAACCTGAACCTGGAGGACATTGACATCCCCATGGATCCCCGGCATTTGGATGATTTTTACAACATGATGCGCAGGTGGCAGAACAGGGAGGGCTCCAAGGCCTCTGTGAACACCCTGCTGGACACCCTGGACCGCCTCAGCCTTGGTGGGGTGGCAGAGGACATCTGTAAGACCCTGGTCCAGGAGCGAGGCTTTGAGTACGAAACGAGCTGAAGGAGCAGCTCTGCAGCTATGAAATACCCAGAAGAGTCAAATTGTAGCTGTTTATAGCTGGCCTGTGCTTCTCTGCTCTTGAAGCCATCATGAATTCAGCTGAGCCAGGAGGAGCTGATCCTCATGAGAAGCACAAGCCCCAGGCTCCCCTCTGCTGGAGTTACAGGTTCGATGTTGGCTCTTCCTCGTGGAATCCGAGCTGGTTTCTTGATTTCACTGAGTCAACACCAAGAGGTTCAAATAACTTCAATCTGCCTTGGGGCATCTCTCTTGGAAGCATTGGTACTACCCAGATTTCTTTGGGATCTGTGCAGAGAAGGGTTTTTGGCATCCCTGTGCTTCTGAACTGCATCATCCTTGATCTTCAGAGGATTCCTGGCATCATGAAATGGCTTCTGCTTCTAGAACGTCTCTAAGTAAGCTTCATTCTGCATGCTTGGTGGTTCTGCAAGCTCAGCTGGGATCTTGGGCCGCTTTTTGTGACCTGAATTTTTAGGTTTTGGGGTTTTTTTGTTTTTGTTTACATGGTTCTGCTTGTTCTTAGAAACCAGTTTAGAACTGCACTTGGAGGGGATGGGGGGAATGATTGATTTGCACAGTGGACTCTGGGGTTGCCTGGGGAAAGGGACAATGCAGGGGTCACCCAGCCCAGCCCCTGCCAGGACCAGGGACATCTTCACCTCCATGAGGCTGCTCCAAGCCCCATCCAGCCTGACCTTGAGTCTTTGCCAGGATGGGGCAGATTATCGGGGCAGCCTTTCTGCCAGTGTTAGCTCATTTTGAAGGAATTTTTTGTTAAATTTAATATAATGTGAATCTCATTTGCCATTCCCTGTCCTGGCAGTCCAGGCCCTTGTCCAACTCTCCTGGAGCCCTTTTAGGTACTGGAAGGGGCTTGAAGGTATGTCACAATGTCACTCCTGCAATGACAGTGTCACTCCTGCAAGTCCCAGAGCCTTCTCTTCTCCAGGCTGGACAATCCCAGCTCTCCCAGCCTGGCTCCAGAGGGGCTCCAGCCCTCCTCTGGATTTGCTCCAGGACTTCCACATCCTTGTGGAGGCCCCAGAGCTGAGGAGAAGGGGAGAATCCCTCCGGTTACCCCGTGGCTGTGGGGTGGCTCTGCTGTCTCTGTGTGCCCCAGGTGAATGCACTGAGTGTGAGTGTGACCTGATACCTCCTGCCCATCCCAGCCTGTGGGCAAATCCTCAAACACTGCACCTCACACAGAGCTCAGGGACAACCCAGCTGGGAAAACAGCTGGGAAAACCACTGGATTACTTGAGCTGCCACCCCAGTGCAGCCCAGTCCATCCCCAGTGTGATGGGAGGGTGCTAAGCACCCTGCCTGCTGCTCCCATTCCCCCACCCTCCAACAAGACAAGCAGAACTTTTGTACTTATTTATTAGGAACTGTAAACCTTACATATGTTAACTTAAAACTTTTATAAAAATATCATTTTTGTTATGCATGGTTGTGTGTTTTTTACAGAGCTCTGGCCCAGCCAGTCTGCTTCTTCAGTTTTATGTATTTCTGTTTATGAAGGGTTTAATTTAAAAAAAAAAAAATCCTGATTTTCTCATCTGGTTTGATTTGTTTTCCCCCCAGAACTCTGGTGAAGGGTCCCAATGGCCACCAAGCTCCAGGGTCCCAGTGGACACCAGCTGCTCCACGTGGCACTGGGCACTCAGCCCAGGGAATTAATGCTCAGCCACCCCACCAGCGATGGTCCCCAAGGGTCCTTTGTGCCAGGGAAAGCCCTCAGCAGCCATCCTGGCCTTTAATTACCCCAGATCAGGGGGCATGAGCAGGGGGTGCCAATGTCCCCATGCCAGCTNGCCAGAACTTGGAAGGGGAATTTTTTCGATGGGAAAAGCGATCTCAGCCTCCCGGCTCCGAGCACATGGCCCTGGGGGGTTGTGATGGTGACAAAAGGCGGCAAACTGGACCCGACGCGCATTGCCGAGGCCGGGGAAGGGGATTTCCATCCCTGCGCTCCCGAGCCGTGTTTGCCGTTCCGTGCTGGCATCTGGTGACACCCTTTGGGATGTTTTAACACGAGGAATGCTCTCGGAGCGGGAATGGAACTCGCCCAGACCATGTCCAAACCCTCAGCGCGGGGGTTTTAGGACACAAAATTCCACCTGGGCATATCATGTTTCCTCATGGATTAGATGTTGTAGAGTTGGGGAATACCTGAACTCTGTTGTCGCTTGAAGTCAGGAGGATCCTGCCATGAGTTAGAGATCTTGCCCTGACTTGTATCCCAGGGCTGGCCCTGTAACCCACGGGCGCTGCTCCCCTGCTGGAATTACATCAGCGCTGCCCAAAACTGGTTTGCAGAGGGAGCCTCTCATCCAATTCATTCCCTACAGAATTTATTGAGACTGGCCTGGTAAAGTCAAGCCTTAAACCCATTCCCTAAGGGCACGCTGGTAAGAGCCTCAGGGTTTTAAAAATTTTTTAATCCCAGTTTTTGGATGAGAGGGATGGGGAGCTGCTCGGTGGGGATTCACATGGCATATTGGTGGTGTGATATTGCATCATGTCCTGTGATCATGCATCTTGCCTCATGGCTGGACACTGGCCATCCGTTTGATGGATCTCTGAGCTCGCTGGAGCTCAGATTCTGCTTGCTTTGCGGGAATTCCAGGGGAAAATCCCACCCTGTGTCCTTGGAGCAGGTGACTCAGGTGCCTGCTTTTATCCCGGTTCTCTTGCTGCCGTCAGAGGCTGCCGATGTCTTTCATCCTTTTCATCCTCTTTCCTCTCCAGAGTTCAGCCAGGGCTGCAGGGTCCAACTCCTTTTGGGATCACCTCAGGAGAAAAACAAATCGGGGATGGAAGCAGGGGAAGCTCAAAGTTTGATGCTTTCCCGAGCTTTTTCTCCAGACTTATCAAGTCTGGAGATTCCCCCAAAGAGGAAAAGCTGATAAAGGATTCCTGTGCCTCTAATTCTCCTGCCTCCAGGCTTTCTCGAGTTGTTTACTGTGGGTGAAAACTCCTCCAACTGATAGTTTGGTTAGGGATGGCAGCGGGGTGTTGTGGGCTGATAACCTTATCATGCACGTGTTGTGTTCTCTGTAAACGTGAAAAATGCTGATCAATTGTTTTTAAATTTTTCAAAATTTAATAGTGATAAAATGGTTATAAAATTAGTAATACAATTAAAGTAATAATAATTTGGACTGATAGTTTGGTCAGGGATGGCAGCGGGGTGCTGTGGGCTGATAAACTTATCATGCACGTGTTGTGTTCTCTGTAAATGTGAAAAATGCCAATGATTTGTTTTTAAATTTTTAAAAGTTTAATAGTAATAAAATGGTTATAAAATTAGTAATACAATTAGAGTAATAATAATTTGAACTGACAATTAGAGTAATAAAAATTTGGACTGATAGTTTGGTTAGGGATGGCAGCAGGGTGTTGTGGGCTGATAACCTTATCATGCACGTGTTGTGTTCTCTGTAAACGTGAAAAATGCTGATCAATTGTTTTTAAATTTCTAAAAGTTTAATAGTAATAAAATGGTTATAAAATTAGTAATACAATTAGAGTAATAATAATTTGGACAATTTTAATTAGGACAATATGAGACAATAAAACCAAAGAGTTACAGAGGTATGTTTTTCTGGGCAGCACAAGCCTGAAAAAGGACACCCGTTAACAGAGGATTAACCCTTAAAAACAACAGCCTGTTANCTCTTTTACTCTCTCTTTACTCTTCCTCACTCTGTCATCTCTTTACCACGCTCTTGCCTTCTTTCTCTTTACCTCTCTCTCCTCTCAGGCCTGCTCTGAGCTGTGGCTGGCAGCTCCCAGCAGGGCCCTTTGCAATAACCCCCAAATTCCACGCCCTGGCTGCAGAGATCTCTCATCTCCGTCCATCCCAACACTCCAACAGGTGGCTCCTGTGGGGTTTGTGCTGCTGAGCCACAGCTGCTGAGTCCACTCTGTGTCCCCTCTCCCAGGTGTCCCGACGGTCAAGTGGTGCTGAAGCCCTGCACACCCACGAGTGACCTGGAGTGTGGTCCTGACACAGCCACCTTCCCCTCCTGTGAGTGGGGAATGCTGGGGGACGGCTGAGGGGTGGGGTGGGAGCTGCTGCTGAAGCTGAAGCAGGAGCAGCTGCTCACACCCTGCTTTGTCTGCTTCAGACCTCACGGGTGGCATCATTGCAGGGATTGTGATTGTGATTTTGATTGTGATCGGGATTGGGATTGGAACTGCTCTCTGCTGCTGGAAACAACCCTGCAGCTCCCCAGGTGAGTGCAGGGGACCCCTGGAGCACCCACCTTGGCCAGGGGCTCTGCACTGGTGTGGGCTGGGTGGGCAGAGAGACCCTGGTAACACCCACCTGGGGTGGGCTGGATGGGGAGACCTTGGGAACATCCACGTGGTGTAGGAAGAGAGATCCCAGGAACACCCACCTGGTGTGGGAAGAGAAACCCTGGGAACACCCACCTGGTGTGGGAAGAGAGATCCCAGGAACACCCACCTGGTGTGGGCAGGGTGGGAAGAGAGACCCCAGGGGCACCCACCTGGTGTGGGCAGGGTGGGAAGAGAGACCCCAGGGGCACCCACCTGGTGTGGGAGGGTAGGAAGAGGGTCCTGCCTAGGGGAAGAGGGATCACAGCTCTGTTTCCATCTTCCAGGGGATGAGAGCCCC